GTTCATGTCCCCTCCTATCTCCCTGACCTCGGAAGTGAGAGGAGAAATGACGGGAAACCCAGACAGCTGCTGCGACGCCCCCCCTCCTCCTCCCCCTCCCCCACAAAATAAGCAGCCCTGTTCTAGGAACTGGGCCAGACCCTGGCAGATGAGTTACTCTCTGTGAGAAGTGCTTCTTTGGGCATGTTAACTCTTTCATTCTACGCATCACTCTTGCTTAATGGAAGGTAAAGTCAGGCCCAGGCCGGCCCTCGCAGGTCAGGCCTCGTCTATCCTAATTGTTCCAGCCTGGAGAGTTCCAGTGATGGGCCCAAGGTCACAGCACAGCTTAGGAGCAAGGTCATGCAGCCAGCCTCCAAGATATCCCCCAGTGACTCCTGCCTCTGTGCCCACACCTTTGGAGTCCCTCCCACATGGGAATAGAATCTATGAAATCAACAGGACGCTGCGGAAGTGACCCTGCCGGACTCCTAAGGCTGGGTCGTGAAAGACTCTGCAGCGCCGGGCGCGGTGGCTTAAGCCTGTAATCCCAGCACTTTGGGAGGCCGAGGCAGGTGGATCACGAGGTCAAGAGATCGAGACCATCCTGGTCAACATGGTGAAACCCCGTCTCTACTAAAAATACAAAAAAATTAGCTGGGCATGGTGGCACGTGCCTGTAATCCCAGCTACTCAGTAGGCTGAGGCAGGAGAATTGCCTGAACCCAGGAGGTGGAGGTTGCGGTGAGCCGAGATCGCGCCATTGCACTCCAGCCTGGGTAACAAGAGCGAAACTCCGTCTCAAAAAAAAAAAAAAAAAAAAAAAAGAAAGACTCTGCAGCTTGCTCTCCTCTCTTCACTCTTGGGGGGAGCCAGCTGCCATGTCACTAGGACACTCAAACTGCCTTGTGGCAAGGCCCATGTGGTGGAAACCGAGGCCAGCTGCCAATAGCCAGCACCAAGTGATCAGCCATGTGACTGTGCCACCTTGGAGGCAGATCCTCCAGCCCAAGACAAGCCTTCAGATGAGCACAGCCCTGGTCCACATCTTCAGAGACCCTGAGCCAGAACCACCCAGCTAAGGCTCTCCTGAATTCCTGGCCCACTGAAACTGTGTGAGTTAATAAGTATTTATTGCAGTGTCAAAGAGAAACAGAGCCAGACACTTATTAAAGACAGCAGGTTGGACTTTACTGAGACTACTGCAATAAGGGAGAGAGATGTCAGCAAAGGCTGAGCTCAACTCTGAGCCATGAAGGTGCCTGTGCATTTTTTTTTTTGGAGATGGAGTCTCACCTCCAGGTCAGGCTGGAGTGCAGTGGAGCAATCTCTGCTTACTGCAAACTCTGCCTCCCAGGTTCAAGCAATTCTCCTGCCTCGGCCTCCCGAAGTGCTGAGATTACAGGCGTGAGCCACCACACCTGGCAGTGACTGGGCATTCTTAAGTGGAGGATGAGGGAGGATGGAGGAGGAACAAGCAGGAGGAGCTCAGGTGGAGTCAGGTGGAGTCGGGTAAGTGGAAACTTACAAAGAGTGGGTGGGGGGCTCTTTTCAGAGAAATGTTAGATAAGGCAGTCGTGGGGTCCATGCAAATCTCAAACAGTAAATTCTTCTGGCAGCCCTGAGCTTTTCCAGTCAGGAACTCAAGAGGAGCTGGGTCATGCCAGGGACATTACCTTGAGCTGTTAGAAAGAAGGCTAGTGTGTTTTCAAGTCTCTTAGTGTGGGGGTGGATAGAATTGCTCTGTCAAGATTTTGCGTTTTTCAAAGGCAAGGTTAAAGCCTCATTGAAGAGAAGATTGAGGGAACCCTGACTCAAGTTTGGTCAAAGAGAAGGTCTGTGTCAATAGTTCTAAGCCACTGTGTTGGGGTTGTTTGTTTTGCAGCAATAGATATCTGTGCACAGTAAAGACGTAGAAGCAGATTCTTAGAGTCCGTGTCTATGCTTTTCTTCTTTTCTTTTTTTGAGACAGAGTCTCAGTCTGTTGCCCAGGCTAGAGTGCAGTGGCTTGATCTCAGCTCACTACAGCCTCTGCCTCCTGAGTTCAAGCAATGCTTCCCACTCAGCCTCCTGAATATCTATGATTACAGGTGTGAGCCACCATCCCCCAACTACTTTTTGTAACTTTAATAGAGACAGGGTTTTACCATGTTGGCCAGGCCTGTCTTGAACTCCTGGCCTCAAGCAGTCCACCCAGCATAGCCTCCCAAAGTGCTGGGATTACAGGTGTGAGCCACCACGTCTGGCCCTCCATGTCTCATGCTTTTCCCACCACACTACTGGGCCCTCCTTTAGAAGACAAGGCTGCCAGACATCCCTTGTTACAATAACAGAGCTTTGAGGCCAGGCGTGGTGGCTCACACCTGTAATCCCAGGTGTGATTGGAGGCCAAGGCAGGCAGATCATCTGAAGTTAGGAGTTCGAGACCAGCATAACCAACATGGCGAAACCTCCTTTTCTACTAAAAATACAAAATTAGCTGGGCATGGTGGCACGTGCCTGTAATCCCAGCTACTTGGGAGGCTGAGGCAGGAAAATTGCTTGAAGCCGGGAGGCAGAGGTCATGGTGAGTGGAGATCATGCCATTGCACTCCAGCCTGGGCAACAAGAGCGAAACCGCTTCAGGAAAAAACAAAAACAAACAAAACAATAGAGTTTCAGCCATCGTCCAGGACAGCTAGAACCCTCACCTGTCCACATACTTATTCCCATGGACACTCAAGGCTGAGCACACAGCAGATAGATTTCTTGACTTAACAGGCATGAAGCTTCCTCTCTCACTACAAATAGCTCTGCAGGAGAAATCCTTGCAACTTGGCACATCTTGCTGTAAATGGAAGCAGTGGCTTGTTCATGTCAGGCATGAAAGCCATTCATAAAACCACCTTGCTGAGCACTTCCTGTGTGTCAGGCAGATCTGAAGACACAGAAATAAACTTGCTTATCTCTGTCCTCCAGGAACGGAGTTCTAGAAACCCAGTGAAAAATCTCTTATTTAGGTGAAGTTTTAGGGAGGAGCTTAGGTTTGTCAAATGCAACATGAATTCCTTTACCTACTTTTGAAGCCATTTTGTCCCAGTTAAGCTGAGGGTCCTCAAGAGTGCACCGATAATCAGAAATGTTTATTTAATGCATTTAACTGTGGAGCAAAGCAGAGGCCAACAACATCATAATCATCAACAATTGAGGCAAAGCCTTCATCAATGAGATGTTCACAACATGGCCACCCTAATGACTTTATCTTTTTAATCTCAGGATGTAGAGAAGTGTGCCCTGCTATTTAAAACCAACCAGGGTCAGGCATGGTGGCTCACGCCTGTAATCCCAGCACTTTGGGAGGCTGAGGTGGGTAAATCACCTGAAGTCAGGAGTTTTACATCAGCCTGGCCAACATGGTAAAACCCCATCTCTGTTACAAATACAAAAATTAGCCGGGCATGGTGGTGCACGCCTGTAATCCTAGCTACTCCGGAGGCTGGGGCAGGAGAATCACTTGAACCCAGGAGGGTGGGGGTTGCAGTGGGCAGAGATCATGCCACTTCACTCTAGCCTGGGCAGCCAAGTGAGACTCCGTCTCAAAAAAAAAAAAAAAAAAAAGGCCGGGCATGGTGGCTCAAGCCTGTAATCCCAGCACTTTGGGAGGCCGAGGCGGGTGGATCACGAGGTCAAGAGATCGAGACCATCCTGGTCAACATGGTGAAACCCCGTCTCTACTAAAAAAATACAAAAAATTAGCTGGGCATGGTGGCATGTGCCTGTAATCCCAGCTACTCAGGAGGTTGAGGCAGGAGAATTGCCTGAACCCAGGAGGCGGAGGTTGCAGTGAGCCGAGATCGTGCCATTGCACTCCAGCCTGGGTAACAAGAGTGAAACTCCGTCTCAAAAAAAAAAAAAAAAAAAAAAGACCAACCAGACAACTAATCAGTACTGTTGAGATAGTAGTCAACACCAGACGTGGCCATTTTTCTCAAAATTATATCCTATACATCTCTCTGTAGATATTGTGCTATAACCTTATGAATTTTTTTTTTTTTTTTTTTGAGATGGAGTCTTGCTCTGCTGCCCAGGCTGGAGTGCAGTGGCATGATCTCCACTCACTGCGACCTCTGCTCCCTGTTTCAAGTGATTCTCTTTCCTCAGCCTCCCAAGTAACTGGGATTACAGGCATGCGCCACCACGTTGAGCTAATTTTTGTATTTTTAGTAGAGACAGGGTTTCACCATGTTGGTCAGGCTGTTTTGTTTTTTCTGAGATGAAGTGTTATTCTCATTGCCCAGACTAGAGTGCAATGGCGCCGTGTCAGCTCACTGCAACCTCCACCTCCCAGATTCAAGGGATTCCCCTGCCTCAGCTCTCAAGTAGCTGGGATTATAGGCATGTGACACCATGTGCGGCTAATTTTGTAGAAATGAAGTTTTTAAGGGCCGGGCGCGGTGGCTCAAGCCTGTAATCCCAGCACTTTGGGAGGCCAAGGCGGGTGGATCACGAGGTCGACAGATTGGGACCATCCTGGTCAACATGGTGAAACCCTGTCTCCACTAAAAAAAAAAAAAAAAAAAAAAAAAAAAAAATACAAAAAATGAGCTGGGCATGGTGGCACGTGCCTGTAATCCCAGCTACTCGGGAGGCTGTGGCAGGAGAATTGCTTGCTTGAACCCAGGAGGCGGAGGTTGCAGTGAGCCGAGATCGCGCCATTGCACTCCAGCCTGGGTAACAAGAGCGAAACTCTGTCTCAAACAAAAGAAAAAAGAAATGAGGTTTTTAGTAGAAATGAGGTTTCTTGGCCAGGTGCGGTGGCTCACATCTGTAATCCCAGCAATTTGGGAGGCTGAGGTGGGTGGATCACCTGAGGTCAGGAGTTTTAGACCAGTCTGACCAATATGGTGAAACCCTGTCTTTATTAAAAAAAAAAAAAAAAAAAAAAGTTTCTTTTTTTTCCCTGACTCAGGTTTATTTGTACAAATAGCACAGGAGGACCCCAGCCCCATGCAGATAGCAGCCTGGGGGGCAGAGGGTGGCACCAGTCTGTCTGTCCCCACGTTGGCAGACAGAGATATCCACTCTGAAGCCTTTGTAGGAGCCTGGGCACCTTTGGGAGCCCGAGCTGGAACTGCAGCTGAAGCTGCATCCTGGGCCTTGGTTTGCTCCTTGGCCTTGGCCTTGGCCTTTGGCCGGCAGATCCTGAGCCCCTTGGCAATGCAAGCACGAGCATGCTTCCCAAGCTTGGGGTGGGTAATGTAGGCAAGTTGATCGAGCTTGCGGCTGACACCCTTTGGGATCTTGGGCTTAACCTCCTTGGGCTTTACGAGGGCCTCGATGGCCTCGGCACGTGCACTCACGGCCTTGGCCTTGCTGGCCTGCGTCTTCTTTAGGCCCTTCTTGCGCTTCTTGGCAAAGCGCATGTTCCTCAGGAACTTGGGGTCCACCCCCTCAAGAGGTTCGTATCTCTGTGTTCGGGGTTTCTTGATAGCATTTCTGAGCCATTTTTGGGACTGGTTGTGTGTGGTGTGGTTCATGGACTTGGCCATGTCTGCACCTAAGCCGCGCTTCCCCAGAAATGAGGTTTCTTCATATTGATCAGGCTGGTCTCCAACTCCCGACCTCAGGTGATCCGCCCTCCTTGGCCTCTTAAAATATTGGGATTACAGGCATGAGCCACCGCGCCCGGCTTCCCATAAACATTCTTAACCGCCCATATTCAAGGCAGAGAGACAGGGGTGGTGACCAAGTGCCAGGAGAACGCAGGGCCTTCAACAGGACTCGCTTCAAGTACCACTTTCTCCTGGAAGTGCCTGAAAAAGGGAGATGTGAAAATAGAGGACAGTGCTGGGAATTCTGGTCCAAAGCCCTGGCAGGAGAAACCGAGGAACGAATATTCCAGATCCTTCTCATTTCAACTTTCCTGCACCTTTATTTTAGGTGCGAATTACCCGAGTGATTGGCAATTTTCTTCATAAGCCATAGATAATATGCCAGAAGTGGAAGAATTAAACTTCAAAGACAAAAGATTTAATTAATTTTTTAAGCTCTCCAAATGAGCTCTTAAAAATGAAATGGCTCAAAAATACATTTAAATCAAAATTAGATTTCAAAAGTAATTGAGTTCTGGAAGGTAGTGATGGGTACTTTCAAATTGGAGGCTCGCTGTTTAGAGTTGGGCTCAGTTGCACCATCCAGAGACTATACAGCTGTCAATTCAGCCATTCTGGTCTCTCTCCCAAAAATAAAAATGTCCAATTTCATTGTGAAAAAGTATACACAGACACATATTTATGTAAGAAATTTATATATGTTAAAAATCATGGCTTCTTCTGTGTCAAATGGAACACTAATGGTGTCTATTGAAAAGAATTGTTGTGAAGATTAAAAATATGCCTGGCATATAATAAACATACAGTAAATATTAGCAATAATAATATCACAAAGGCATCTCAATCTTGTTTCTTTTTTTTTTTTTTTTTTTTAACTTTTTTTTTTTAATAGAGATGGGGTTTCACCATGATGGCCAGGCTGGACTTGAACTCCTGACCTCAGGTGATCCACCCACCTCGGCCTCCCAAAGTGCTAGGATTACAGGCATGAGCCACCACACCCGGCCCAATCTTGTTTCTTTCTTTTTTTTTTTTTGAGACAGAGTTTCACTCTTGTTACCCAGGCTGGAGTGCAATGGCACGATCTCGGCTCACTGCAACCTCCGCCTCCTGGGTTCAGGCAATTCTCCTTCCTCAGCCTCCTGAGTAGCTGGAACTACAGGCACGTGCCACCATGCCCAGCTAATTTTTAGTATTTTTAGTAGAGACGGGGTTTCACCATGTTGACCAGGATGGTCTCGATCTCTTGACCTCGTGATGCACCCGCCTCGGCCTCCCAAAGTGCTGGGATTACAGGCTCGAGCCACCGTGCCCGGCCCCAATCTTGTTTCTTAAATACCTCATTAATCCAGCAGTTCTCAAAGTTTGACCTGGGTCCCTTGAATGGGGGAAAAGGGATCCTGAGATCCTCTCAAGAAGTCCAAAGGGTCAAAACTATTCACACAAATACTAAGGAGTCGTTTGTCCTTTCCATTCTGATTCTCTCACAAACGCATAGCAGAGCTTCCCAGAAGCTGCATGACTATGATACAGCAACCAATTAAATGAAGAACCAGATACAAGAACCCAACACCTGCTAAGCCAGACATTAAAGACATGCAGAGCATTCATCTTACTACATTTTTCTTTCTCTTGGAAAACACAGATCTCAGATCTTTTATTTTTTTTTGTGACAGAGTTTCATCCTTGTCACCCAGGTTGGAGTGCAATAGCACAATCTTTTTGTTTTTTTTTTTTTTTTTTTTTTTAATTTTTAAAATTTAGGACGGTCAGTTTGAGCAATGGTACAATCTTGGCTTACCACAACCTCTGCGTCCCAGGTTCAAGCAATTCTCCTGCCTCAGACTCCTGAGTATCTGGGATTACAGGCCCCTAATACCACACCCAGCTAATTTTTGTGTTTTTAGTAGAGACAGGATTTCACCATATTGGCCGGGCTGGTCTCAAACTCCTGACCTCAGGTGAAGACCCACCCCCACCCCACCTCACCTCCCAAGTGGTGGGATTACAGGTGTGAGCCATTGTGTCCGGTCGTCCTCAATAATTTTTTTTTTTTTTGAGATGGAGTTTCGCTCTTGTTACCCAGGCTGGAGTGCAATGGCGCGATCTCGGCTCACCGCAACCTCTGCCTCCTGGGCTCAGGCAATTCTCCTGCCTCAGCCTCCTGAGTAGCTGGGATCCTCAATAATTTTTAAGAGTGAAAAGGGCTGCTTGAGTCCAGCCTCTTCTCGCTGTTTCTACCACAGTCAACCTACAACCCATCATCACTCCCGCCCTCCCAGAGGGACTCCTGCCAGGCACCCACTTGACCCACTGTCACTCATTCCTGCTGCCCCAACGTCTTTACCATCTACCCGGTCCCAGTCACTGTCCCAGGTAAAGGGGATGCAAGGCAGTTATGGTTCTTTCCCTCCTGAAGCTTGTATGAGGCAGAATTAGAAACAAACACAAACAGCTGAGCACAGGGGCGCACACCTGTAATCCCACCACTTTGGGAGGCCCTGGTGGGCACATCACTGAGGTCACGAGTTTGAGATCAGCCTGATCAACACAGAGAAACCCCATCTCTACTAAAAATAAAAAATTAGCCGGCCAAGGCAGTCGGATTGCCTGAGCTCAGGAGTTTGAAACTATCATGAGCAACATGGCAAAACCCTATCTCTACTAAAAATACAAAAAAAAATTAGTGGGTATGGTGGTGCATGCCTATAATCTCAGCTACTCGGGAGGCTGAGGCAGGAGAATTGCTTGAACCCAGGAGGCAGAGCTTGCAGTGAGCCGAGATTGTACCACTGCACTCCCACCCGGGCAACACAGGGAGACTCTGTCTCAAAAAAAAATAAAATAAAAAATAACTGGATTGTAATCCCAGCTACTTGTGAGGCTCAGGCATTAGATTCACTTGAACCCAGGAAACAGAGGTTGCAGCAAGCCAAGATCACGCCATAGCACTCCAACCTGGGTAACAGAGCAAGACTCCATCTAAAAAAAAAAAAAAAAAAATTCTTGAATTCTTTTTTGTATGTTAGTAGAGTACGGGGTTTCACCACATTGGCTAGGTTGGTCTCAAACTCCAGACCTCAGGTGATCCACCCACCTCGATCTCCCAAAGTGTTAGGATTACAGGCATGAGCCATCATGCTTGGACGGTTTGGACTTTCTGATTGCAAAATAACACATACATCCACACTTTTTAAAAAAATGGAATCTCAGTCCGTTGCCCAGGCTGGAGTGCAGTGGCACAATCTCGGCTCACTCTGCCTCCCAGGTTCAAGTGATCCTCCTACCTCAGCCTCCTGAGTAGCTGGGACTACAAGCACGTGCCACCATATCCAGCTAATGTTTGTATTTTTAGTAGAGATGGGGTTTCACCATGTTGGCCAGGCTGGTCTTGAACTCTTGGCCTTGTGATCAGCCACCATGCCTGGCCCACACATTCTTACTGTAGAAAATTCAAGCATACCACAGCCTACAGGAAAATTGGGGCTGTCCCCTTGCCACCTTTGCCTTTACCGTGTCCCCTTCCTCCTAAGTGAGCAAATCACATGCCTCACTTAGTGTGCCCCTTGCAAGCTACTTTCTGTGCCCTTACACAAAGATACATTTTTTTTTTTTTTTGAGACGGAGTTTCGCTCTTGTTACCCAGGCTGGAGTGCAATGGCGCGATCTCGGCTCACCGCAACCTCCGCCTCCTGGGTTCAAGCAATTCTCCTGCCTCAGCCTCCTGAGTAGCTGGGATTACAGGCACGTGCCACCATGCCCAGCTAATTTTTTGTATTTTTAGTAGAGATGGGGTTTCACCATGTTGACCAGGATGGTCTCGATCTCTTGACCTCGTGATCCACCCGCCTCGGACTCCCAAAGTGCTGGGATTACAGGCTTGAGCCACCGCGCCCGGCCCAAAGATACATTTTCTTCAATAGATAAAGCTATCTGTTTGCTGTTTTTTTCAACTTGCTTTTTCCACTTATATATATCATATACAGCCTTGCATACCTATCAGGTTATAGATATTTATGCACACACATATATTTCACTCCTTTTAACAATTACTAATGATTTAGCAATTATTGCTTTAACGACCTCTCAATCCATAGACATTTGTTTCCAATTTTTGTTACTGTAAACAATCCTGCAAGAAATATTACCTGTGGCCAGGCATGGTGGCTCACACCTGTAATCCAAGCACTTTGGAGGCCAAGGCGGGCGGATCACCTGAGGTTGGGAGTTCAAAACCAGCCTGACCAACATGGTGAAACTCCGTCTTTACAAAAAAAAAAAAAAGAAAAGAAATATTATATGCCTATATATTTGCACCATTATGCTTTAAATTTTATTTATTTATACCATGCTTACTACTAAAAAGGACTTAAAATAGCTAAAAATTATTTTTTCAGTTGAATCCAAATCTAAAAGATGCCAGTTGTGACTTCAGATAACAAAAAGGAAGGGGAGAAGAATCAAGCTAATGTCAGAAAATTCATAAGTGATTTAAGCTAAAATGCTAATTTTGAGAGGATGAAACAGATGGGCTTTGTAATATGTGATCCAAAGGTTTCTGGAGACACTTATGTTTGAATTAGAAGATACCGCATGAGCTTTCTTGGCAGCAGAAATTGAAAGCAAAGTGACGTTAAATTGATTTTTTCCCCAAACAATTACTCCCACCAAATCATCCTCCATCATTCTATTTTTAAATACCAACAAGCATGTTGTACACATTTAAAATCAATGAATGCTATTTAATAAAATTTGTATTTATGTACTTTTTTTTTGCGATTTCATACATTTTCTATATTCTCATTTCTAATGGCAACACTCTCGTCGATGTTAGAAATTTTAGGAAAACTTTGCCCTTGTCTTCCACACTGGCTAATTTAGAATAAGGAATAGTCCCCACCATGAGGTTCTTCCTGGCAGAGAGATATGTGCCCATG